ACCGTATTTAAGCCCCAAACACTATCCCTAAACCCTAAACCCTCAAATTTAAACCCTAAACCCCAGACCCGAAAGCCCAAACCCTAAACCCTAAACCCTAAACCCGAAACCCTAAACCCCAAACCCGAAAGCCCAAACCTTCTTCCGAGGCACGGGAAAGCTCCAGGGCCATGCCACTGCCGCCGTTGGAAGAAGTCATGGACTTCCTAGGTTTCCCAATATCCGCTGAAGTTTAGGGTTTAGGGTTTAGGGTTCTTCATGTGAATAGAGAAAGCCCCCAAAAACAACTCCAAATTGCTTCTGCCGCCTTTTTATTCACACTTACAAAACCCCCATAGAACCCTATGCGAACGACAAACAAAAAACAGCGCCCTAAACCCTAAACCCTCAACCCCAAACGGCGTGTGACCAGGGTTCGATTCACCCAGGCGCATGAGTGCCAGGCTAGCATCTGCGAGCTTCGAGGCCAGCGTCTCGAGCCTGGTTTAGCGCTTAGGAGTTTAGGGTTTAGGGGTGCAGGGTTTAGGGTTTAGGAGTTTAGGGTTTAGGGCTTAGGGCTTTAGGGCTTTAGGGTTTAGGGCTTAGGAGTTTAGGGCTTAGGGCTTAGGGTTTACGGCTTAGGAGTTTAGGGTTTAGGGTTTAGGGCGTAGGAGTTTAGGGTTGCTTTCGGGGTTTGGGGGCGTTTGGTTTAACGTAACTTACAGTAACTTGACGTCGCTGGGGCCTTTGTGGGTTTCATAAAGCTTTACCGCCGAGTCCTAAACTTGAGGGAGCTTGATGTCAGCTACGATGAGAGTGAAATGAAGTATTTCAGATGCTTTCCTGCTTTCCTAACTGTTGCAACTGAGCTTAGCTTCCTAAACCTAAACCCTAAACTCGCAACCAGCAAGAACCCAGCAGCATGGTCGACAAGTTCGCGGACTCGTTGAGGGAGCTGTTCTGGCCCATACGCGCTCCAAGATTCACGGATGAGATGCCTTCAGGGTTTAGGGGCTGGCTGCGGGTTTGGGGTCCAGGTTTAGATTTCAGGTTTAAGCGTTTGGGGTTTAGGGATTTTTTGGCTTAGGGCTTTGGTTTTAGGGTTTAGGGTCCAGGGTTTGCGGAGATCGGCATCAGGTTTTGGATTCAGGGGTTTAGAATTTTGGGGCTGAGATCATAGGGTCGCCTTCCAGCATCGCCACGCCAAGGTTCACCCCGACACCGCTCTCGGGGCTCTCCAGCGCCAGGTCAATGCAACTGTCCAGCAAGCCTCGGAGAGCTTAGGATTTTGGCTTTTTTGGCGGGCTTCGGATTTAGGGTGTATATAGGGCTTAGGGTTTAGAGCTTAGGGTTTAGGGCACAGTTTAGGGTTTCGGGGGCCTAATATAGAGCCCTTGTGATGAGTGGAATAAGTGGCCCATCAGGCCTCCTTTTTATGGGTGATAATCACTGAAATCAGGTTTCATAGCGGCTTCATGAAGCGTTTAGTAAAGATCTTATAGGGTTAGTATAAGGACCGCAAAAATAGAATTGAGTTTTCTGGCTTGATTCTGTCCCAAGTATAATAGGCGTATCTATCCCGACTTCCGGGGGCATGGGGGGCCCTGGAGAGAGTGTGCTCAAAGGCCATCCCCGCAAGCCCACCCAAGCCGCAGCCGTATACCCTAAACCCTAAATCCTAGGATAAACCCTACACCCCAAACTTAAACCCTAAACCCTAAGATAAACCCTAAGCCCTAAACCTCAGGATAAACCCTAAGCTCTAAACTTAAACCCTAAACTTTAAACCCTAGGATAAACCCTAAACCCTAAACCGAGGGACAACCCCTAAACTCTAGACCGAAACCAATGGAGCCGCCTACCCCCAAAACCTTAAACGACGAAAGCTGCTAAGTCTCAAAAACAATCTGGGAGTTAGGGTTTAGGGTTTAAGGTTTAGGGTCTCCAAAAAAAAAAACTGGGAAGGATTGGGGGGATCCTTGGAGATATAGACCCTCTCGAGAAGGTCCCTTTGCAGAGCGCCAGAAGTAGGTTTGAGAAGGGTCCCTTTGCAGGGGTCCCCCTAATACCACCTAGGACAACCTCAAGCCTGAATCTCAAAACCTGAATGCGGAAGGCACGAAGCAAAGCCCGCCACACCTGCGAAGCCCATGAACCCAAAGGCCCTGGGTTTAGGGTTTAATGTTGAGGGTTTAGGGTTTAGGGTTTAGGGTGTATCCTACTGACCTAAAAGTGGCCCCAAAAATTCCAAACTCAACGAACCCCAAACCTCGGTCTTGATCCCCTGCGCCCTGAACCCCCAAAGCGCGTGAGCCATAGAACCCCGGCAAATGTCTTATGAAATGCTTCTCAAACTCAACGAAATATATAGAGCCTTCATGAAAAGCTTCTTGACCCCTATGAAGCCCGATCAACATCCGAATAAAACCCTCATAAACACCCTTCTAAACCCACACACAAAAAAAAACTCGAACAACCTGTCTAGGCTCTCTGACCCCCTATCAAGGTCTCTTGCAAAAACCCTATCAATACCCTTCTAAAACCCTATAAAACCCATAAAAACCCTATACAACCCTATAAAACCCATAAAACCCTATAAAACCCATAAAACCTATAAAACCCATAAAACCCTATAAAAAAAAAAAAACTTCAACTCCCTTTACAAAAAAAAGCCCTCCTGAGAACCCCCGAGTCCGAGAACCTGCGGCTTGGGAAAGCTGCGACTTGTTCATAAGGAGTCCCATGCCTGTCCTTGGAGAGGGCTTAGGGTTTAGGGTTTAGGGTTTAGGGTTTAGGGTTTAGGGTTCAGGGTTTAGGGTTTAGGGTTTAGGGTTTAGGGTTTAGGGTTTAGGGGGGTTTAGGGTTTAGGCCTTGGCGGTTGTGGGAGGGTTTAGGGCTTTAGGGTTTGATACCCTTTTAGGGTTTAGGGTTTAGGGTTTTTGGTTGTGAGAGGGTTTAGGGCTTTAGGGTTTGATAGCCTTTGAGGGGTTCCTTTAAGGGCTCCGACAAGGGGTTCAGGGTTTAGGGTCGAGGAATTTGGGGTGTCCTGTGCGGTCGTGAGAGGTTTTTTTTTTGAACTCCTTTGGGGTTTAGGCTTTAGGGTTGCGATGAAAGGTTTATGAGGTTCCTCTATACCTTATCTTGTAGGGTTCTTTGCCTAATTTATGGGGTTCATGAAAGCCGTATAGGAGTCTATACCAGATTATGAGGAAGTTTTAGGCCATAGGTTTTATACGGGTCCCACAAGGAGTTTGTAAGGGCTCTGAACGGGAACTAGAAGTTGTTCTGTAATTGCTGCCTAAGGTATCGGGCAAGGGGCTGATGGGGTGACTCTTGAAGTTTAAACCCTAAACCCCTAAACCCTAAACCCTAAACCCTAAGCCCCAAACCCTAAAGCCCTAGACCCTAAACCCTCATAGTGTTTGGGGTTCAGGCTTCAGTAGGCGTTTTGGTCGTTTAAGTTGCGTGCTCGTTCAAGGGTTTATCCGAAACTCCATAAACCGATACCCTAGGTTTAGGGTTTAGGGTATAGGGTTTATGGTTTATGGTTTAGGGTATAGGGTTTGGGGCTAAGGGTTTAGAGTTTAGGGTATAGGGTTTAGGGCCAAACCCAAATCACCCTAGTAACTTTGGTAACACCAACACCACTGGTAACCCTCAAACTCTGAGACAAGGTCTAGAGATGTACCCCTCAACCCTAAACCCTAAACCGTTTAAGGTTGGTGGTCCTGAAGCAGAGGCACCCATGCGATGTTCGGGGCTTCGGGGTTCAGGGTTTAGGGCTTAAGGTTTGAGGTTCAGGGTTTAGGGTTTAGGGTTTAGGGCATAGGGGTTTAGGGTTTGGGGGTTTAATCAGGGCTTCTTAGGAGTTTAGGCCCTAAACCCTAAACCCTAAACCCTAAACCCTAGGATGTACAGCTTGGCGCTGCAAGTTTAGGAACTTAGGGTGTAGCGGTTCAGGGCTTTGGCATAGCGTCCTTCCTCCTTGCACCACAGAGGAGACCGCGTAGCTCATCCTCGGCTTCAGAAACCCTAAACCCTAAACCCTAAACCCTAAACCAGGGTTTGGGGGCACTCGCCCCCGGAAGCCCTAACGTGGGGGGGCCCAATCAGCATCTTCTCGGGCTTATAGGGTTAAGGTTTTAGGGATTAGGGTTTAGGGTTTAGGGTTTAGGGTTTAAGGTTTAGGGTTTAGGGTTTAGGGTTCAGTGTTTAGGGTTTAGGGTTTAGGGTTTAGCTGTTTATCGGTTGTATAAGCTTTCAATACTACGGCCTTAACACAGGACAGAGGCTCGAGGGGTGTTTTAGAGTACTATGGTATAACGGCATAGGAGCTGGAAGGGAGTACAAGTATTAGTTGTACCCCCCCCCTTGTTAATTAACCTCAGAACTTCGAGGCAGTGGAATGCCTAAACCCTAAACCTAATGTAGGGGCCTTAATAATTAGAATCGGGTCTTGGGGTCTTGTATACTATAATTATAATAAAAAAGCCCAAAATACTAATAGGTAATTATTGAGGCCCGTATATTACAAAGCCGAAAAAAACACAACCCCCTGCAACTCTGCAGTTCTCAACCCCTCAACCCTCCGACACCAGCCCGTAAAGGTCCCCGTCGCGGTTCCGTGAGCTTTAGGGATGGGTTTAAGCTCAAGACTTCTTTTCATTAGGGGGTATAGGACTGCTGCGGTTGTTACACCCGCAAACCCCGAGGGTTCAATATAGGAACCGACACAATTACAAGTATTTTTTGGAGGTTCCTGGTCAAACCATAGTAAAAAGAACCCAACACCCCGTCTTATCATTAATGCCCTTACAGTGCTAAACCCTAAACACTAAACCCGAGGCTTGTCTTTTGTGTTGCTTGTCCGGTCTCACGTGCCCCCGCGTACTGGACTCCATCATGTGAAATGGTGAACCTAAACCCCAAACCCTAAGCCCCAAAACCGGTACAATTCGCAACCTTGAGCCGGAGCTTACCCTCCTCCCTTCTCAAGCCACGAATAGCCTTCACACCAAGATCCCAGCCCTCAAAACCCTGAAAATACACCCCTTAAGACGTCTAGAAAATAGACCCCCGCCACAAAAGGTGGAGAAACCTGCTTTCTTGGTGGGTCTGCGTTTTAGATGCCCCCGGTGGTTTGTGAATCCAAGCCGCAAGCCCAAAAAAACGCAACCTTAGACCCTACTCAAAATACTGCAGGTAAGTATAGAGGCCCCTATATTAAAGCCCTTTATACTACACCCTGAATCCCGACATCCCCTCAACCCTAAACCCTAAACCCTAAACCCTAAACCGTTTTATATTACACCCTTAATCCCGATATCCCCTAAACCCTAAACCCTAAACCCGAAACCGTTTTATATTACACCCTTAATCCCGATATCCACTAAACCCTAAACCCTATACCCTAAACCCTAAACCGTTTTATATTACACCCTTAATCCCGATATCCTAAACCCTAAACCCTAAACCATAAAAACCGTTTCGATATCCCCTAAACCCTAAACCCTAAACCCTAAACCGTTTCATATGACACCCTTAATCCCGATATCCCCTGAACCCTAAACCCTAAACCCTAAACCCTAAACCCTAAACCGTTTTATATGACACCCTTAACCCCGATATCCTAAACACAGGCGCGTCGCTTCTCCAAGGCCTCTGGGCTGGGCGCCACCACGCTGGCGGCCACCTCGCGGAGGACCCGAAAGTGTTGGGGGTCAGGGTTTAGGGTTTAGGGTTTAGGGTTTAGGGTTTAGGGTTTAGGGCTTAGGGTTTAGGGTTTAGGGTTTAGGGTGTAGGGCTTAGGGTTTAAAGTTTTGGGGTTAGGGTTTAGGGTTCTAAAAACCCCTCCCCTAGGTTTACGGGTTAGGGCTTAAATTAAGGTTCTGAAAACCCCTCCCCTAACCCCTAAACTCCTAAACAATAAACCCTAGACCCTAAACCCTAAACCCTAAACCCTGAACCCTAAACCAGAGACCCAAAGCCCTGAACCCTAAACCCTAAACCCTAGACCCTAAGCCCTGAACCCTAAACCCTGAACACTAAACC